TTTTGTAGTATTTTATATACACATATTTTCTTTATCCTGCTTTTATCGTTTATCAGATGACTGAAGTTTGCAAGTAAGCTATAGTTGATCTAATTAAAAAAGAAATTAGTTTTAGATATAAAATTCCCATTCTACATAATGAAAAGAAAAAAGAAACTCTTAGCGTAGAGATATAATTACTCGATATTTCAGTCCTCGTGCAGGCAGCAATATATCTAATGACACACTCAGTCATGGCATCAAACTACTGATTCACAGTTAAAATAGAAACTGACATTGAGCATCTTAAAATTATATTCATCAACCGAATACACTATCCAATGCTCTTTCTTTTTAAGATAAAACCAACCATGCTTTCTAGTTTCTTGGCCACGGTAAAGTATAATGGAGCTAGAAGAAAACTTGCAGAAACTTGCTCAACGAAGCCATCAATCAATACATAATACATTGTGTGAACAATTATAAAATCATCGTAGATGTTCTGACACCTAGTTAGAGGAAATGAGTGGAGGGAATAATCACTAGTAGAAAATCAAATATTCTAGACGGAATATTCTAGACGGAAATTTTTCCGTCTAGAATGTTTTATTCTAGACGGAAATATTCCGTCTAGAATATTCCGTCTAGAATAAAACATTCTAGATGGAAAAATCCGTTCCTTTATTTTTATTTTTTAAATAATCAGGTATTCTAGACGGAAATTTCCGTCTAGAATAGTATTTTAGACGGAAAATTTCCGTCTAGAATACCTGGCCATTTTAAAAAAACAAAAACCCCGTCAAAACCCGCAGCCGCTCTCCTTTCCCCCCCAAAATGAAAATTTTCATCATAAAATCAGCCTCATCCCCCCAAATCCTCAACCTCACACCCCCGGCCCCTCCCTCCCCCTCTCCTCCCTCTCCCTCCAAGGCCAGGTCGCCGACAATCTCCCGCCACCGGAGGCGACCGCGAAGCTCCTCCTCTCGACCTCGATCTCAATGCTCCGCCTCTACGGCGCCGACCCCGCCATCCTCAAATCCCTCGCCGGCACCAACATCTCCGTCATCATCGGCGCCGCCAACGGAGACATCCCCAACCTCGCGAACTCCCCGTCCTTCGCCTCTCAATGGGTCGCCGCCAACGTCGCCCCCTTCGTTCCGGCCACAAAGATCTCTCCGTCACCCCCGCCATCACCGTAAGCTCTCCCGAAAACAGAAAGGTTCCCTTCCCTTTTTTTTAATTTTTTTGTTGTTGTTAGGTTTACTTTCTCGATCTCGAGAGGTTGATTGTAGGGGTTGGTTCGATTTTGTGGGCGCAGAATCCGTACAATTCGCTGCAAGGGGGGGAGGGGGTGGTGGCGGCGGTGGCGGAGGAGGTGGGGCTCACGTGCGCGAAGACGGTGGCCGGGGACAAGGAGTTCTTTCTCTGGGAGTCGAGCACCGCGTATCTCTCCGCTGCCAGGCTCAATGTGAGATCAAACCCTAACCAGTTTTTACTCGATTTCTGCTTAATTTGATTGAATTCGGTGATTCTATCAATTTTCGACTTTCCATATGAATGGTGTTGTAGGGTATTGAAGCTACGATCTGACCTTACGCGAGTGTAGCATTTGTAATTTTTGCTGATTTCTAATTTTTCAATCAAAGGGGAGAAATGAGGGCCTGATGCGTTTAGTTATGGAATTGTTGATGCCATTTCATTTTGAAGAAGAGTGAATATTAGGAATTATATAGTTATCCAAAAGACAGTATGGCTTGGATTAACAATAACATCTGATGAAGTATGAGACTGTTGACATCAAATTGATAGATGATTTATAGAACTTCACTATAGTTTTATTTATCTTTTAGAGCTGCGTTTGCTAAGGCATATGGAGATTGATAAGTAATGATATATGATTATTTATTGGGGATGTCGATTCATTTCATAGAAATAAATTACTGATAATATAATTATGTGATGGACTGTAGTCTCGAAGTAGTAAATAATTGTACATGAGCAAGATTAGCGAATTGGGATGATTTTCCATCTAGATGCACCTTTGACCAAATGAAAGAAAGAAAGGACAATAATAAGAACTATTAATATAATTTTTCGGCAAATTATTCAAGTAACAGCTAATGAAGAGGCTTTAAGCCTTTAATGGCTGAGCATTTAAAGCTGTAACTGGAGCATGTGGACATGATCTCTACTTCTTTCTTAATTTTGCTTTCTTCATGTCTCAGCTTAAAGCATCTGATCATATCATGAGCTTTATTAAACTTCATGGTTTATAATAGTCCACGTGTACTCTGAATCTAGCTCTAGTTCTTAATTAAACTCTTTTATGTGCACTTTATGCTCAATGCCACTCTTAGACCCCTGACGTTAGTTATTTATAAGCCATACAATATAGTATTAATTCAAAAGTTAATGTTAGCTCAAACAACACTTGCTACAAAATTAGTACGAACAAGGAGTTATTAAACATACAATTCATGAACACTATATCATTACTGAAGGGGGCAGTATAGTTACCTTACTATGGATCAATTTGATATGTTTGGATTATTTCTTAATTTATCGTGTAGTTTATAATTTTTGAAATTTACTATTTGGATGAGTTATGCTAACAACCACTTGTGTTTACATACATAATTTGACACTTAATAGTATCATGCATATAGGTAGAGAAGACTCGGACAAATATTGTTGGTAGAGTTGCAGCTGAAGAAGAAAGGTATAGTTTCTGTTTTAAATATTAGATAGAAGAGGGAATGTGCTGATCGATGCATTTTCTATCATTTGTTAATGTTTTAGCAGGTCCGGTTCCTGTTGCCCATATGGAGAAGGCTGGATTCTCTTAGGGCAAGGGTTTTAGGTCATGGAGTCCGTATTCCAGTATGAGTATTCCAGTATGAAGAGCGATGAATCAGAGTGATGGTACGTTAACAAAAACTGTAAAAGAGGTATATTTTCAGTCATGTATCCATGTAGCCTTTCTTCTATGCCACCTAGATTAGGATATTTTCAGCGATGAACTCGTGATTTTTGTTTTCGAAAATAGTTTCCTCGGTAATCATTCCTTTTGTCTTCACTAATGCAGTGTTCACTAATTACTTTGTATTTGCATTGTATTTTTATTTGAATGAATATATGTATTCTTGTTCTTGTCTATGAGCTTTGATCTCTAAAGCTTGTATGAATATATGTTGCAACTTAATAAGGTGATTATTATTGTTGTTATGCTACATTAACGAACTCGGTTTCTTGTTTTAATGCTTTGTTTCAATCTTGACTATTGCAAATGCAACCATAATTTTTAAAGTTTGGATAACAAATGTAATTGCCTTGGTACATTACTGCTATGCAAGTAGGCAAAGAATGTTTTTCCCCTTCTGATAGTTCACATTTGAAGGGTATTTCATCTTTTGGTGATTGGAAACAATGTAGGTCATTTTGTTAGCAAATTGAAAGAACTGTATGCCTAAATAATTGAAAGTCATAAACTTTTCCTATGTGGGATGCATTTTGTAGGCAGAAACATAGCTACTTGTAGATTGCTAAAGTGAAAGGCATGCATGATGGTGGGGCTGAAGGGAATCGTTCCAAGAAGGTGAAAAGCGAAGATACATGCGATCATTCTGACAAAGGCGAGGAAGATGTTGAAGAAGAAGAGGCAAGGAAGAATAGGCTTGGGCTTAATAAGAAGAGTGGTGATGATGATGAGTTGATTGCGAAGGGAAAATCCTATGTGAATTCGTGTAAATAATTGATGTAAAAGTTTGTAAACAATTTTTTTCTAGTATTTTTGTGAATGTATTATTTGAATATAATAGGATTTGATATTGAAATATAATTATATTGTGTTGGATATGAATATAATTTCTTTTTGGTCAATATTATGTACAAAAAAAAAAACTACTGTAGCAAAGTATCCTAGACGGAAATTCCGTCTAGGATACTAAAATTCCGTCTAGAATGCCTTTTTTAAAAAAAAATTAAAAAAAAATTAAAAAACATTAATTTCCGTCTAGAATGAGTATTCTAGACGGAAATTTCCGTCTAGAATACTCATTCTAGACGGAAATTTTTTCCGTCTAGGATGAATTATTCTAGACGGAAATTCCGTCTAGAATAATCCGTCTAGGATGTATTCTAGACGGAATTAAATTCCGTCTAGAATATTCCGTCTAGGATGTATTCTAGACGGCATTTCCGTCTAGAATACTGTATCCTAGACGGAAACATTCTAGACGGGTATTCTAGACGGAATTCCGTCTATGATACGCATCCTAGACGGAATTCTGTGCATCCTAGACGGAATTTTCCGTCTAGGATGCCTAATTTTTTAGCAGTGAATTGATGTTTTTTGGAAGAAATTTGATCATGCAAAAAAGCGGGAAGATTGAAGCAAAAGATTATTTTCGGATAGATTCTAAGATACAACCTTGGAGGCCACTGCTAAATAATGAGGTATCCTAGACGGAAAATTCCGTCTAGGATACCCAGAATTCCGTCTAGAATGCTTATTCTAGACGGAATTCCGTCTAGAATACGCGTCTAGTATGTTTCCGTCTAGGATGTAGTATTCTAGACGGAAATTCCGTCTAGAATACATCCTAGACGGAATATTCTAGACGGAAATCAAAACCGTCTAGAATACATCCTAGACGGATTATTCTAGACGGAATTTCCGTCTAGAATAATTCATCCTAGACGGAAAAAAATTCCGTCTAGAATGAGTATTCTAGACGGAAATTTCCGTCTAGAATACTCATTCAAGACGGAATTTGATGTTTTTTAATTTTTTTTGTTAAAAAAGGCATCCTAGACGGAATTTGAGCATCCTAGACAGAATTTCCGTCTAGGATACTATGCTACAGTGTTTTTTTTTTTTAGAATCTACTTTGGGTGCATGTACACAATATTGAACAACAAAAAATTATATTCATATCCAACACAATCTAATTATATTCCAATACCAAATCCCATTATATTCGAATGTACCAAATTTTGCATAGATCATTCTTAATCCGGTTCAAAAAATACATTGACCAAAAAAAATTAGAAAGATACATAAATTATTTACAAGCATTCCCCGCTTCTCACACTCTTGCTCCAAATATGATACTAAGTTTAAGTCCCTCGAATCTGGGATTATCCCATTCAGAAACTCCTTTTAAGACTCCTATTAATTTGCCTGAACAACATTCGCTGATCTCGCCACATCCACCAGAACTGAGTGATCGATAACAAGATCAACAGGTACCTGTGTAAAGAAGATGTTATGCCTCACATATCTCCGTTGGCATCTTTGGCAGTTCTTTGTTTCAGAGTAAACCTATGCAAATAATAAATCATGAGATAAGGGAAGCACTAGCAAACATAGATAATAAAACAACATGATTATCATTCATTAATCGCAGAACCAATACTTGAAATTGATGCGTCTACGCTAATCAACAGCATATGAATAAATTCAAGCCATTTGTTTACCTATAAAGGAGTTACGATTCAGATTCCATGAATTCAATCCCAGCAATCTGACACCAGAAAAACTACAGATGATCTTAAAAACGTACATAATTCCGTCAGCAAGCAGGACAGGGAAGAAAGGATATTTCCAGTAACATGTTGAACAAACTGATTGTCAATATTCAAGAAGGACACCTGAAAATAGTAAAGACAACATAAGGAACAAAATTTGAACCAAGCAACAATATATTTGAATCTTAAATACAAAAGCAAAGCATATAACAAATCCAAAAGCAACAATATATTCAATATATTCAAGAAGGACATGTCTACATTACAAAGAAACTAACACATCCCAGAAGCTAAATCGGCCAATTGCTCACTAAGATCACATTCACATAACAATCCTTGACCCATCATTTGTTTCATCATTTAACATAAGAAGTAGACAACTCGCTAAACCCAAACGAATATATATAACTATTCAGCACAACTATATGACCGAACTGATTTAACTACAAAGTTCAACACACAAGTCACAAAACCCATGACAATCAGAATGAAGAACAGCAAAAACTACCTCTTCCTGTGTCTCTTGGATCCATTGTGCGCTACCATCACAGCCTCGCTAGAAAAATATCGACTGCAGAAACAAAAAACAAACAAATATCAGAATTTTTACCCCAAAAACAAACAAAAAACAAAGAAACCCTAAATCATTGAGAAAATTCCAATTACTCGCAATGGAGGCAATAGAATTGACCCATTCCAGGGAGATCCTCATCAAGCGGCAATTCTCAATCGTAAACCGCATCGTCACGTGATCGTCGACGAAGAGCTCTCTAGGTTACAGAAATCAAATAAAAAACAAACAAATCAAGCAAAAAAACACAGCAGAGATCAACTATTGGCCAATTCTCAATCCGTCGAGAGGCCACGTGGCAGGCCTCAAGCAGGGAAAAAAAACCCTGAGGAATGCAGAGTTCAAGCAAAATGTATCAAGAGATTTTAGTACTATATGAAGACCTGAGGAATGCTTGGAGATGAAAAATATTGGATGCAGAGTTCAAGCAACATGTATCAAGAGGACGATGTTGATGGAGTACAAAAGGGTCAACGTATGGACTCTTGGGTCAATAATTTTTGCACCTATGCTTGGCAATGAAAATATGAACCTGATAATAATCTGTTCAGACGATTCTTTCTTCAAAGTGAGTGACATAATTTCTAAAATCAACTCACAATGGGTTAACTTGTCTAACTATTATTTATCAAACTATTACAAATAATTATGAAATCGATTCAACTTTACAGCTAAATAACCGTCAACGAACATTCACATAAGCAGTTAGTTGCGATATTATATTTATCTACGAGTTACCAAATTTGAGCTGGCAGAACAAAGATGCAGGCGAATGTTCGTGAAACCAAATCCAACAAATAAATGCTAGCTTCAGAAAAGAAACACCAATGGCTCACTACCAGGTCCAATTTTTCCCATTTCAGTAACATTTATGCCAGAATTATTACATCTATTTATATTTCTTTGATACCATCACAAAAGAAAACCCTGAGGCAGACACATTTCCATGTGAAATTTAGACGAAATTACCACCTTTTCGCCAGGGAAAACATCTTTGATCGGCAACTCCCTTGGGACATTAATCCCATGCTTACTCATCAAATCCGAACCCTGTCGCAAAATTAAAACGGATCGTTAAACACGAGATCAGTCAGATCGATCAGATATTAACGAATCAAAACGAGATAGCATCAGTAATCAGAAGAAGAAAAAAACCCTAGGTTTGGGACCCGGTACTCGTGGATGTTGAGGCGACGGAGCTGCTGCTGCTGCCATTTCCCAGCGATGGAGAGAGATCGAGACGCGAGCTTTCCGAGCAATCCCCTCACCATCTTCTTTTTCCCTTGGATCTGATCGGCAACAAACCCTAGATTTTGACGGAGATGGCGAAGCAGAGGAGGAGGATGCCTGCTGACATTGTGGAGCCGAAGGTGGACCAGAGGATGATGTTGATGATGTGGCGTCCCGGCCAGGCGAAGGCGAGGATGATGCTGAGGGCGGCGGAGCCCTCGATTGGAGGGAGCCAGAATTGGAGGGCGCGCTTCTCTTTTCTGGAGGAGGAGGAGGAGGAGCTGGAGCTGCCGGCGGCGAGGAGGTGGATGGCTTTGAAGATGAAGAAGGAGACGGCGGAGGAGGGGACTCGTGAAGGGGAGGTCGGAGTTGAGGGGGTCTGACCGGAGCGGTCGAGGGATGAAGGAGCCCGTAAGGGGGGTTCCTTCCTCTTTCGATTTGGGGGGAAAAGAAGGGGGGCAGGGTTTTGACGCCTTAAATTTTTTTTTTAAATTTTCACGTATCATGGACGGAAATTTTCCGTCTAGTCTGTATCCTGGACGGAAATTTCCGTCTAGAATAACTATAAATTTAAAAAAATAATAATAAAAATAAAATAACCGTCTAGGATACTATTCTAGACGGAAATTTCCGTCTAGAATGTTTTATCCTAGACGGAATATTCTAGACGGAAATTTTCCGTCTAGTTTAATACATTCTAGACGGAAAAAATTCCGTCTAGGATATTCCGTCTAGAATACGTGGTTTTCTACTAGTGGAGATTGGTCTAAAGGGTTAATGGCTGAAACTGTTAAATAATGAGGTATCCTAGACGGAAAATTCCGTCTAGGATACCCAGAATTCCGTCTAGAATGCTTATTCTAGACGGAATTCCGTCTAGAATACGCGTCTAGTATGTTTCCGTCTAGGATGTAGTATTCTAGACGGAAATTCCGTCTAGAATACATCCTAGACGGAATATTCTAGACGAAATTCAAAACCGTCTAGAATACATCCTAGACGGATTATTCTAGACGGAATTTCCGTCTAGAATAATTCATCCTAGACGGAAAAAAATTCCGTCTAGAATGAGTATTCTAGACGGAAATTTCCGTCTAGAATACTCATTCAAGACGGAATTTGATGTTTTTTAATTTTTTTTTTGTTAAAAAAGGCATCCTAGACGGAATTTGAGCATCCTAGACAGAATTTCCGTCTAGGATACTATGCTACAGTGTTTTTTTTTTTTAGAATCTACTTTGGGTGCATGTACACAATATTGAACAACAAAAAATTATATTCATATCCAACACAATCTAATTATATTCCAATATCAAATCCCATTATATTCAAATAATACATTCACCAAAATAGTAGAGAGATACATAATTTTTTTACAAATTTTTACATAAATTATTTACAAGAGGTTCTGTATGCTCCATCGCACAACATTACGCACAATTCCTCCTCTTTGGAAAAATCGAGCAACAACAAAAGCTACATCCTCTGCGGGCCTATGAGGATCTGGTGAATCCCAACTTTTAAAACTGTGAATACGTATAATCATCAAAAGTATAATATAAATACAGAAAAAACATAAAAAATAAAAATATAAAAGAAAATTTTAGAAAAATACCCACCAGCCAGTCCAATTTTCTGTCCACATCTTAGGACTCGTTTCATTGTTTGGCTTGAAGCTATCACAATAAAAACCATTGCAAGTATTTATCTGATAAACCAAATAAAAATATAAGTTTCCCTCAAAAATATTAAAGTAGATCAGTACTGTTACAACTGAGAATACAATATTGCATAAGTTTTATTGCATAAGTTGTTCACAAGAGCTCTAGGAAGTCTTATTGCATAAGTTTGTTTTCACTGAGAATACAAAAAACCTCTTAACAACATGATGTTAACTAAGCATATACTAGAGCATCTCAACAAGTACTGTGATCTCAAAAGGTCATGACCAGACAACAGATTTCAGAAGACATTCACATAAGCAAGCACGACAATGATATAGCAAGAAACATGAAAATCATTAGCTACGTGTTCTATATAACTGACAGATTTGAAAATATCAAAGCAGGGACTAATACCACACGAACTTAAGAATTAACCCATCTTATTAGTAATTCCAGTGATTTGAAAAACTAATATCACAGCAAGTTAAGAATTAATTGGGAGACTTAATTAATAGCACTTTCAATAATCAAATTTAGGGAGTTAAGAATTGAGCACAAGTTAAACATTAAACCTGAGGTGTTCAATGTGTGAGAGTCCATATACTTCATTACAAACTTAAAATCATCCAAGCCAAACTATCACTAGTTGATTATGTTGACATTGAGTTTGCGCAGACACGTCTATATACACAATGACTAAACATAGTAATGTTAAAACAATGTTAATGTAACACAACAAGAGTATAGAAATATTTCCAATCTAACTAAAGAAATATTCAGTTCATATTAAGTTACTTTCATTCTGATAATTTCAAACTTTTGTAACTACATAATCTTAAATTTGCATTTCTCAACTTCCCAAAATCAGCAGAACTCTGAATAGGTTTAATTTCTTTTACCTGCTTCGTGATGTCATCTGCCTTCTCTTCCATGAACCAAAGAACCACCTCTCTCCCTGCTGCCTCCGAGAGCTTCCTCTCCAATTTACTTTTATAATTATGTCAAGACTATTAGAAACTTAATCGAGCATTGACTAACATGGTAAATGCACTAGCAGGTAGAAAAGAAATGTTATATTGCAATGGACTGATGTACAGGATATGGAGATAGTAGGCAACAGAAAGAAAAGAAACATCTAATGATAATTATGTCTCTATAACACTTCTAAACTTCTTAATTTAAAGCTCTCCTCTGGTGTTGATTTTGAGTTTCAAATCAAATCCTACTAGCAAAATAGAAATTGTTCAGTTGCAAATTATACATATTATTTTAGGAGTAAAATTACCCCTGACCAGTTAAGAACACCATAACTCTTTATTACACATCTGGAAGGCACTCATAGAACATCACTTCACATGATGCCACCTGAGACATTATTGCCAACAACTACAAAAACCAACTCTCACATGATGTACAAGTTTAATACTTACGTTCTCCAGTTCTTCTACACATCCATATTAGCATTTCCCAATTTCCATGTTTATTATGTTATCTTGAACCCTCTATCGCTTAATAATAGAAGTATATCCAGGTCTCATATTAATAATTCAAACTTTTCCTTAAGAGTAAGAATTGAACTAAGAGTCTGCACTGAGATGAACATAACTAAGGACTAATGTAAGGTATTAATTAAAAGTAAGTATTACTGTTGAAATAGGTAGGCAACTTGATTTAGATAAATTCCAAACCAGTGATTTACTTTTTCCATCAATATGAGAGCTTCAGGATCCCTTGGAGGCCATGAAACTTCTTCAGCTTCAGCGACTACTGGGTTTAGAATTTCCTTAAGTATATCTGTTGCAGATTCTATCTTCTCCTGCATCAAAGAAAACATAACTTTAGCAAATTAAGTCATATTCTAATTGAAAGAAAATCTAAATCTTAAACTTAAAGTCACGAAAACATATCTCTGCCACATTATTAGTAAATCTAAAGACAGAAGGTATGACCAAGTTAGAGGATAAACTATAGTATAACATTCAATTTATGTCGACATAGTAGGAAACATGTCTTTTTCCAGGGAAAGATAAAGTAATTAAAAAAATCGATAGCACAAAACAATTTCTGCTACTATTCTTGCAACTGAAATAGATAGAAATGAATACAGAACATGAAGCACGATTATGTATGCAAGAAGAAAATGAAAACAAATTAATTGGTAGAGAAGTCAAGTAACGGCATGTTTCATATAGACAAGCAATGCACACAGCTAATCAAGGGAAGGAAAGTTTTTTTTTAAGTACTACAGTATAACATCCAGACAGTAGCCTTACCCTCATAAAGAAATTCATGAAGAGCCGAGTCAAAACTCAAAAGACTGAGAAGACGTCTTTTGAATGAGATAAATTAACAACAAAAGTAGAATACCTTAGTTCCAATTACCAAATCGCTCCAATTTCCCCGCACACAAGCTCAATCTCTCCTACGATTTAAACACATATGCTTAATTATCAATCTCTTAGCAGAAAACAACTAACCCCACAAAAATATTAGACGATAAAATCGAGATAAATTCTTACAATCTCAGTTTTGATAGGATGATCATCTGGTCGAATTCCACTGCACCTCAATCTTGCTGCTCAAAGAAAAAGGGAAAAAAGAATTTTTATGAAAGCAAAAGAATCAATGAGCTAGGGTTAGGGCTTTATACCTGCCAACAAAGAGGAAGCGGATTGGGCGAGCACGAGGAAAGCACGTGCCCGCTGGAGCGGCAGTAGCTCGTCGAGGAATCCGGGCTCTGCCGCCGACAAGAAGTTGAGGAGATTCGTTTGGAGATCGTCGACACAATCTAGGGTTTCTTGGCGGCTCTTGGTGGAGGCTGGGTGGGATTTGGAGGGGGGGAGCGCCGACAAGAAGTTGAGGAGATTCGTTTGGAGATCGTCGACACAATCTAGGGTTTCTTGGCGGCTCTTGGTGGAGGCTGGGTGGGATTTGGAGGGGGGGAGGGGAGGGACGCGGAGGCGGCGCGACGGCTTGGACTCGGAGGTTGTCGGAGAGGGGGGAGAGCTTGGAGAGGGCGTCGCCGGGGTCGGAGACATCGCACTGGACGTGGGTGACGGAGGGGAAGGGGAGGGGCCGACGGGGGGAGCTTTGTCGGAGATGTGAAGGAGAGAGAAGACGGCGAGCGGGCGGCAGCCCGGCGCCAGGCCGGGCCAAATCGGCCTATGG